GGCTGCAAGCAAAAAGAGAGAACCACTAGGCAGCTGCATCCACTAAGGAAGAGCTGCTCAGTTCCAAGGCAGCGTTTGCTGGCAGCAAGAAGTCCAGCACTGGAGAGGCACTTGCCTTCAGCCCTCAACTCTCTGTTACTGAGGAAGCCATGCAGGTGGACAATTCCTATGAGCATCAGACACCAGTTAGTGTAGGGTTGTGTGGGTCCACTGACTGCCCCTGTGACGTACCATTGCTCCACAGACAGCAGCATTGGGGGTGCGGAGGTCCCTGCAGAGTGGTGCAGCCATCTCCCACCCACTGCTCAGCACTCCTACTCCTTGAGGGAGCATATCATATGCTCCCCACAAGAAGCTGCTCCTGGTTGGGGTTTTTTTTCAGCTGGTCCAGCCCCTGAGACACCTTCTGTTACCAAACAGCCCCAGACCTGGATTCCTCTGCTGGGCTGCAGCAAAGGCACAGAGGCAGCCAGTGGGATCCAGATGCAACTGTCAGGCGCTGGCTGGACGTGGATTTGAGGAAGCAGAGACAGGACCAGTTTGAGATGATCCAGCCTTGAGCAGGGGGCCTAAATGACCTAAGGAGGTCTCTTTCAGTCCTGCTTTCCTCTGACCCAATGATCTCTGGAGAGAAGCAGAGTTTGAACGAGCCTGGCAAGGAGGGCCACAGAGCTCCCAGGGCTACTTCTTTATGCACAGTGCCCCAAGTAGCCACCTGCTCAGCCTCTCCCGCTCAATGCCTGGGTTGTATTCTGTGTCATGAGGGATGGCAGGTCTCAGCTCATCCCCAGATTCCCTGCACCAGTGAGAAACTGGGACTGTCCATCCATCATTGTAGCATCACACTGGGGCAGACTTGGGGACCCTGGCCAAGTTCAGCGAGCCCAGATGGTACCATCTTGCCTGGCAGTGACAGCACAGGCCAAAGCAATGCCAGGGCACAAAACTGCCTTACTGCTGGGGCCATTGCCTCAGCCACCCCTGAGCATTTCTTACCCAGCTCGGCTACTCCCACTGGAGCCACGGCAATCCACCAGGACTGGAGGCAGTGGAGATTTACACCAGTGGAGGATTTGGCCTGGGTGCAGCATTTACAGAAAGGCTGCTTCCACTTGGCCTGATTCTGATCTTAAGCTGCTTCATATTGGTGTGAATCACTGGCTGTAGTGAAGTCACTTCTGGCTTACACCAGTGAGATCACACCCCCAGTCTATACACTGGCTTCAGTGGAATGGCACCGCCAATCAGACAACAACTTGCACCTCTAATGTGACCTTTGGCCCCTAAGGTCATCACGTGACCACTTTGGGGACTATTCACCTTGAAATTTCCTCCTGGGCAAGGTATAACCAGCCCAGCTTCCATGGTTGGGAATGATTCCCTCTGCCAGAGGTGAACAGGTATCCCCTTGAAGAAAGCAAGTATCAATGCTAATGCAAAGCAAACACAGTCCACAGAGTTTCTTGGTCACCTGTAGAGGTAAGATATCGGATCATGGGCCAGGTAGAGCACTCTCACCCTGAGCCATCAGCAGTTCCTTTACCTGACCCCAAACAGCACCCACCTGTGTACAAATCACCGCTCAGCGCCCAGAGATGACCCTGCAGTTCACCGTGCTTGCCATTGGCTTCACAATCAAATTACCCACCCCACTTCCCACCTCCTCCCACTGCTGAGATTCTGGACTCGTTAAAAATCTTCATTGTCCTTCCCATCCGAGAGATTCTGCCTCGGAAAGCAATTTACGGCTTTGAACCCCCTTCCCCGAAGGCACCAGATGACAACAGCATTAGCCTTAGAAATTATTCTGGGATGGAAACGTGTCTTACAAAGAAATAAAAAGCTGCAGAGTAAGACGCTATCTATGACCAGAGGGTCAGGGTTTCATTATTGCATTAACCTTTCATGTCTTTAGCCTCCGCAAGAGTAAATTGGTAACGAGACGACACGAGTCCCTGTGGGAGAAACGCATCTTTCCAAACAGGAAAGGGAGAGGGAGAAGAGAAACGAACAGAGGGGAGAAGGAGAGAACAAACTGCAAATAAGCTATTATCGCTAATAATAACTTTGCGATGCTATTTTCTGCAGGAGCCTTCAAGTTGTGATGTTTCCCTTCACTCTAATTACACCTTCAGAAAGCAGGCTCCCTTCTCACTTTAACCACCTTATGCGAAACTCCCGCAGGAGTAGCACAAAGATGGAAAGGGAAGGAGTTCGCACTTCAGACCAGCCTCTGAATATCCTGTGGGGGTGTCACAGGCATGTGAAGAGTGTGGGAGCAGGCTCCCCCAACCAGTGGCACCAGTAAACAACTCAGGGCAGGCACTGGGGAGCCGATGCCTGGGGTCAATGAGTTGACTTCTAATGTCAGCTGCCCTGGTGATGGTCGTAGTGTTATTGGGATCAACCAAATTACACTAGAATTGCCAGAATCAGGGTGCGGTGGGGCTTGTAAACACTGGATAAGATCAATATCAAATCTAAATCATGTAATCAAAGCTAAAGACTAATCAAACCTCATGCTTCAGGGCACAGACTGAGCACTTCTGGGGTCAGGAAGGAAACTGTCATGTTTCACATAGCACCACATAGCAAGCTAAGTGCATTAGAAGAACTTTGTTTAGCCTCCTCCAGAGTAGCAGGCTAATGGAAGAAGGCAGAGGTTGGACTTGATGGACTAAAGGGAGAATCCAGCATGGCGCATGCAAGCAGTTTGGTTTACCACAGAGAAGTTGAAGTCAGAGTAGAGACTGCTGCCTATTCGGGGTAAGAAAGAAAAGCTGCAGCAACAGAGTTCACATCCTGAACCAAGGCCAAACACCTCCCTAGGTGTGGGGTGCTTGGATCCAGGAGTTTATATTTCTCCATTACTGACATATTGATGCCACAGGTTTTTAACCGGATTAGACCTGCCCCTAATTAGAATAGCAGGGTGTAAGCCCCACTGGACCAGCAAACCTCAGGCGCAGCAAGGCAGGCTTCAGCAGGCTGAAAACATACCTTCACTATGGCACTACAACTCACCAGGCATGGAACCAATATTGCACCCTTCCACCCCCAGCAGTTCTCGTCTGCCAATATCAATTCATTTGCAATTCCGACTATAGGAAACATCTTCCCACTGAGAAACTGGAAAAGCTGCTGGCTCGTTCCATGTGGCTTCTGAGGCACAAGATGTCCTCAGCTCCTGAGGCCCAGCTTCGTTTTCATCTTATGAAACTCATGTGGCCTTGTGATATTTTCCACAAAGACCCCTTGAATCCGGCAGAGTTTCGCAGCTGATGCCCATCTCGCCTCGCACTCACAAAGCTCCTCTCATTTTAAAGTGACATTTGCACCATTTTAGTTTAGAAACATTCACAGATGCTTGAGAGGACATTTTAAAAGCCCTGATGCAGCTGATCCTCCCTAATGCTCTGTGCTTCCTCACGTATACAAGGTGGGTGATACCAAACTGCGAGCACAAGGCCTATCCACTGGCTAAACCTCAAATGAGTACCCACTGGACTCAAGCTGAACTTCAGTGATGCTCAGGCCCGCAGCACAGAAGTGGGTGGCACAGGATGATCTAAATCTTGATGTTTTTCTCAACAAAGGACCTGTGGCTGATCCAGGGGCATTAGCCTCCCAGAGAAAGTTTTAGCATGTGCACTTTGGAGTTAATTTACTGCCCTGAGGCTGTGGGAGAAGGTGTTTTTCATGGGGTACAGCTTATGCTTTGCTCACCAGCCCATCTTTCTCCCCCCCCACAACCCCAACACAGACCTGGAGAAAAAAATATAATGGAACATGGACCAGCAATTTAAAAATACAGGCACGCATCTTCCCAAATACCAGATCACAGACACAGCCAAGAAAAAACAGTTTGGATAAAAGATCAAGGCTAGGGTTGAAGCAAGCAATTCCCTGCTCATGTTAATGGAACTGGGTGTCAGAATCCCTTACGCAGCTCTGAAAAATCTCAGCCTGACAGCATGAGCTGCCATCCAAATGCCAGAAACTTTCTCCCCCTTTATTTATTCCTCTGCTCTCCATCCTCAGTGTTAGTGCTCACTTACGGCCAGAGATGTGGCACAGGCAGGATTATGATTCCTCTGTGCTCAACACACATACCTCAAACCAGAAGCTGCAGCCCTGAGAGAATATTTTGAACCAACTTATAATAAACCCCGCTAAAACGGGTGTGTGCAATGCTCTGAATCCTGATGCTGAGCTCCTGAAGAGGACAGCAGCACTTGCAGAGCATAGGGAGCTAGCCACCTGCCAGGCCTCCTAAGATTGCAGCATCTTTGCCCCTCTGCAGGCTGACTGTCCAAACAGGTAATAGCAACAGTGGGATTCAGTTCCTATCTGAGCCCCAGGACAGAACAGGCCCTGGGAGGTCAGCATTGCTGGATGAGTTGCTCAAAATACAAGAAGGGAAGCAGGTGCTTTTGAAACAGCACCTGGAGCTTAGGGGTGAGGGAGAGAAGGATGCCAAACTTCAGAAGGAAAACACCCTCCCCTGCTCACTGAGAATGGCAGAAGGAGGGAGAGAAGAAAACTGAGGATGACTGAGACAGACCGACTTCTCCACAGCCTTCAGGAACCACGCAGGCTTTGCTTGGAAAGACCACTCAGCCTCTCGCGGAGTGTGCAGGAGCCTCTCCTCCCCATGCCACTTGGACAGTATCTGGTCTCCTAGCCAGCCCCATGCCCATCTGGGAGGTGGCAGAGCCTCAGCAGGCTGGGCACAGATTTTTGAACCCCGCTTGCACTGGCTGCTGAAAACACTTGACAATTCTCTGCAGCAGAGCAACTAGCTCTGTGTGTGTGTGTGTGTGCGTGTGTGTGTGTGTGTTTGCGTGTGTGTGTGTGTGTGTGTGTGTGTGTTTGCGTGTATGTGTGTGTTTGCGTGTGCATCAAGTCTGTCCCCCTCACACACATACACAACCTCATTTACCCTCCCTCTGGTCCAATGTCCCCTCCATCCCCTAGAGAAAAAATCTCTCCCACTGTACCTGGGATGAAGAGCAGGGCAGTGGTGGCAGTGAAGACGATCCAGCAGGCAGGATGGTACATCTTGAAGCCGCAGTAGTCTACAGGCTGATTTGCTTGCTGCTTGCCGCTGCTGCCGCTGCTGCTTTCCTCTGTGCTGAATTCTGAGCAGGTTTAAATCCAATGTTTGCAGAGGGAGGGAGAGTGAGTTAGTGAGCTAGACAGAGAGAGAGAGAGGGAGAGAGCAAGAGAAGAGATGGGAGCAGGCAGGCAGTGTCTCCAATTTCTCCCTGCAAACACACACACACACACACACACACACACACACACACAAACACGCACACACGCACAACTAGCAGAAGAAACACCAGCACTAGTCTGTGCACTGTGTAGAGCAGACCTCCTACCAGGCACTCATTGGTTCGAGTCTCCTGAGTGACATGCAGACACTTGCCTCTTCTGCAGGTTTAATTCTGCAGACAGGGAGTTAAATGCTGCCAGCTGCCCCCACAGAGCACCACATGGGGTGTCCTGAGCCTCGAGTGTGTGTGGGGAGGGTTGCTCTGCCAGAAGTGCCAGGATGGGCATTAAACCAAGGGAGGAACCTGATCCACTGCCAGCAACACTGAGCAAGGGGAAGAAAGCAGCCTGGCAGCAAGAATGTGCCCAGGGGCAAGACATTCCTTAGTGACCCCCAGGTATTGGCTCTCCTGTGAAAGCCTGGGAGATGCTTCACCAAATGAGATGGCCCAGACATTATAAAGAGTTTGCTGCTGGAGGGATTCAGTGCTGGAGCGTGCTAGTCACCCTCAACCTCTCTCCCTTCACCCCCTGCTGAAGCTATAGTCGTGCTACAGCTTTCATTAGGTAAACTGTGTCTGCCTGAGAACTTTGTGGCGTGGATCCTACTCAAGATCCCCTATGCTAGAGCAAGGGTCCCATAGCTCTTCTGCTGCCCCGGGAATCCTGATGATGCCCTGGCCTGTCAGTGCGCCTTTCACACAAGACCCTGAAGCAAGGTGACAGCACGCTGCTCCACATACCCAGGCCAAAGCCTTTCTACCAGCTTGCATGGGCTTTGCATCAGGCCTTAAGAGGATGAAGAGTCCAAAGCAGCTCTGCCATTACACTAGGAAAGGGGAGGTTTGCTCTGGATTCCTTCAAAAAGTCCTTTTGCCTCCACCCCAAAGACAAAAGCCAAGTGATATTCATTGTCCTATCAGTGGTGCTGCCTAGGCTGGCCCAACATCCCTGAGACTTCTCACCTCCTTACTTCCTCCATTTGCCTCATGGCACCATCCCTTCCTACCAAGCATATGATGCTGTTTCCCGTTCACACAACCACAGCCCCCGGCACCCTCTTCCACACCGCACCTCTGCACTCACCAGCTCGACAGTGCCCTGCCAGCTCCCACCTCCGCTGCTTCTGCTCCGATTTTCATCATCACTGCTCCCTAAACACCTCCCTCACAAGCCTCACCACAGTGCTCTCAGGGCTTCTACCTACCCACATCTACTCACATGAGCTGGGCCAAAATATTCAACTGAACTGTTTTTTGGCTGAAAAATGCCAGGTGGTGCCAGAACAGCTCATGAACTTGCTCCAATTTTGCAAAATTGATAAAGTTCAGGGGGGGAAAAATAAATACAGATCCCTTCCCTCTCAAAAGAAAGGTTTTAATCAACATTTGCTAAGCAAAGGGTTTCAGTTTTGCAACTGAAATGGCATTTGGTTTGAAATTCAATTCAATGTTATGAAACCCCCAAAGCTTGAAAACAGCACAAATATTTAATCTCACCACAAACATTTTTTTTTAAATATTTTGATTAATTAAAAATGAAGTGTAGTGTTTTTCATCTCAGGAAGATCCCAGGCCTTTCACTGACACTTGGGAGCTACAATCAACATGAAGAACCATCTCTAGTCTTCACCTTCTCCTCAACATTTGGCACCTCCAACCTCTTCTTTGAAACCCTCTCCTCCACCCTCTCACTTGTGACTCCTTTCCTGATTCTCCTCCTACTTGTCTGGTCACTGGTTCAGAATTTTTGTGGCTGGATCTTCTTCCACTCCTATTAGCCTTTTATCCCTCTAAACTACAATACTGAGCAATACCATGTTGCAAAGCTCACATGGCTACAACTGCAATGCATCTGCTACCACCTCACCATGCTGGACTTGTCTTCACTCCAGCCAAGATCACACCTGAGCCCATCTCCTCTAACCTCTCCCCTTAAGGGTCAAGTGTGAACATAAATGTAACATGACCAAAAATGGATTCCATCTTCATTTCCAAACCCCAAAATTAACCAGCTCAAAACCCTCTGGCAGTGAAAATACCATTGCCTAGTAAAGCAGCACACCTTTAACATTTTCTCTAGTCCTCTTCTGTGACTGAGCCACTTGCTGTTGGTAGCAGCCACCAGCCTTTGTCCTTTTGTTCAAGGGATGAAGTTCCAAGCTTTGACAGTAAACATCCCATGTCCAGCCCCAGGTAGAAGTACCTTGTTTCCCCCATCCTCCTACCAAGAGTTTGTCACAGCTCCTTGCTGCATGTTCCCTCCATTAGATTGCCATCTCTTCGAGACACAAACTGTCTCTCTTTCAGTCTCCCCCACTAGATAGTGTTTCCAACCTGATGGGACCTTCTATGGGCTATTATAATACAAACAATTACCAAGTCGCTAGCACTGCTGTTTCCATAAGTTCCTAGTTTTGTGCACAAGCTGAAGACTTGTCACCAGGGCTGCTGAGATTGCACCTTCCACCAGCACTAAATGCACTTAAAAATGAGGGAGACAAAAACCTGTACCACAGAAAGCCATCACACTGTGATAGTAGAGTGCCTTGTCTTGTTGGGTATACCCTGATAGATCAGGCTGCAAGTTCACTGGGAAACTCTTACGACTTCAAGTCACCTACACAGGGCAATACCAGGGATTTACAGTGGTAGAGAAAATATAAGAGGGATTGATTCATTGCCTGCCTAAATAGCTGGTAGAAAGAAATCACTCTTTGTCTCCTTCCCACATCCTCAGCACCTCTCGCTGTTTGAGGTGCAATGCAAGGGAGACACCACCACTGGGAACAAATGTAGCACTGCCCCATACCAAAGCACTTGGCTAAAATGAAAAGTCCTTAAAACACGCTCTGGGAGATGGGTCAGAAGTCTAACTATTCTTAATTTACAGTTGGACAAGTTATTATATATATACTGGCATCCTTTCATCTGTGAGAGACGGTGGATATTGCAGCCTATGACATGCATGGTTTGCAGTGTCTTGCGTGACTGAATAGTCCAGTGAAGACCTTGAAAAGACAATGGGCTCAGGTCAGAAAATGAGTCTGCAGGAGAGTTGAGAAGATAATGCAGGAGTCTTGCCATCATAGGCGACTGGTAGGGAGTGCATGGGGGTGCATGTGCCCCCCCGATGGCTGACACCAATACTGTTGGCAAGGCTGGTACCCCCCCCCCCGCCAAAGCTGCCACCGTCAGCAGCTTCGGCAGGGCCCCCCCCCCCCCCGATTCAGGAGGC